TATTTACTCTTTTCACTTTTCTCTGTGGATGTTTCCTGCATAAAAAATGTTCATAAGATGGAAAGGTCTGGGCTTCATTAATGGCATCTATAGCATCTCTATCAATAAAAGGCACCATGAGCAGAAATAATTTCTACTTATTTGGGAACTTTGCCAAATACATAATTTGAATTAACAGTGACAGCATTTAGGATACTCTGTTTCTGTTATTAATATTCTGTTTGTTTTTTTAATACTGGAAACAATAAAAATTAACAAGCCCTTAAATCTCTATTTGATTTATGAAAGAGATGTACAAGGTATAAGACATCTGCAGACAGCTTAGAAATCAGCTAATGAGGAAGTAGTGTTGATTGTTTAATTTCTAATCTTTTGTTAAACAAAAAGAACAACAGAAGGGAATTAACTTCCCAACAATCTTTTCCCTGTAATTAGAACCTTTTTATTATTTACCAAATAAACAGAAAGAAATAGAAACATATTTCCATGTCAGGATATTATACCCTGTCTATTATGTTTTGCACACCTGAAAAAAAATGTTAATAGAAATAATTGTTGTCATGTTAGCATCACCAGTTTCAAGCTGTCTGAAAAAATTTTACATTCTCAATAAGGAATATTTAACATTTGAACCAAAAACAGTGCAGCACGAATAATTAAAGGCTTAAGTTAAATACATAGACAGTCATTTAAATTTAGATCTGCAATAACATTTACTATTATTCTCTAAGGCTTTGACTGTGCTTGACAGAAACAAAGTACTCTGGGATTAATTTCAAGAAATGGTGCCAACTGTGCGCAATTTGCTGTAATTAAGACATGAAAGAGTACTAAATATTCAGATTAAAAGAAGCATGATGGAGCATGATAGAGAATCAAGGTGTGGCATCAAGCCAATAAAGCACAGTCAGTCATGAATACTCAATAGTGATTGATATGAAACTTATGCTTATAAACTCGTAGCATGTACTTAACAACTGTGCAGATAAAAATTAAAACCATGACACTGTGTCTTATGGAAAAGGGCTCTTCTAAATCCAAGGTGTGTGTGACATCTTCAAACAATATCAAAACAGAGCCCAATAATGTATTTTTACACAAATAAGATGTTTAAACAATGAAAGGGGAGGAAAAAAGGTAGCATGGTAGTCTTTTTCCTTTGGGATATCCCAATGCTTTGGGATATCCCTATGGCTACATCAACCTACAGCATTTGCAAGAGTGCCAAATGAAAGAGATGTGTAGCAGTTGGAACCAAGAGATTAAGTACCCCCCTCCTTTTTTTTTTTTATTCATCAAACATTTTCCCTTTTTTTTTAAAGGAAAAGTATTCGTTTAGATCAAACTGCATTTCCCATTTTTCTCTCAGAATTAGATGGAATATTTCTTCTTGCCTTTGAACTTATAAGTATTGATTAATGATGTATTTATTGTAATACTGAATCTTTTCTTCAACAGACTTTTCTAAATTAAAGTCCTTGTAACTTTTGATCCTAGAGGAGATGTGGGTACTTGACCCAGTTGCTAATGAGGTGCTGTATAATCTCATATATCCCATAGCTCAAAATAGCAGGATGCAGTATAAAAAGTACATCATAAAAAGCCCTCTTGGAATGCTTTTTGTCTTCACAGGCAATACGCAAAAGAGATGACCTTCTGAGAAAGTCGGAAGCCGATTTCCTGCGGGCAAGGGAAGGTATCAAAGCAAAAGTGGCTGAGGTGGAGCACCTTGACAGTGTGGTCAAGAAACTGAAAGCCAGTATCCAGGACACACAGAAAGAAAAGAATCAGACAGAGACAGAAACCACCATACTGAGAACTGAGATTCAGCTGCTAAATCAGTAACTGCAGGGTGTGCATAAGCAGTGTAGAAAGACAGGTAATAATGTACAAAAATAGTAATATTACAAAAATATGAATTTTTTACAGTCTAATGGAATAGAATTTTCAATCATATGGGTATATGATTGTTGCAATCAAATGAATATAAAAGGTTCCTTGTTCAGCTCTAGGGTAAATTTACAGATACAGACTGTGACTTCATCAAAACAAAATAAACACAACTGGTTTGGGGTTTTTTTTAGTAGTTCAATTTCTGTCCAATAATCCTTGTATTGATTTGGTGAAACATCTATTTCTGTCCCAGAATACCTGTTTATTCATTGGCAATGCAAAATTTAATTTGAAGTTAACAAGTTTTATATAATTCTTAATATTTTAAGTCACTTTTTAAATGGATAGGATGAATCCCTGTATAGATGAGTTAACAGCTTTAGCAATAGTGCATTGATAATAAGGATTTTTTTTTTCCAGTAGAGTAGTGTACACAAATACAAAACAGGATGGAAAAAAACAAGGAATCATTTCAGTATGGACAATAAACTGCTTTAAATAATTTTTACTTAGTACTTTTGGTTTTCACACTGAACACGTGAGCTAGAACTAGTTTTCAAAATAAGCAAATGCAGCAAGGAAATTGCATTATTAATATTTTGAAGTCACAGTATAGTAGAGCTTGAAATATACTACTTTTACCAAATAAAATATTAATGAAGTCATTTGGAACATAATAGACAGCCTGTGTCAACCCCTTAATTTTCTCTTCCACTATTCACAACATTGCCAGATACGTGTTTCTGGATAAAACCCCCTAGAGGTCTGCTGCAAATTCTTTTTCAATACAACCAGATCATTGCAGATAATTGTATTACACAGGGTATTGATCCAAAATCGTTGTGCACCGGAAACATCTGAAAAAACATGATTATAGCTTTCTGGTTATTGTTCGTACATCATATAAGCAGGCTTTTGTGTGAATCACCTGTAAGAAAGGCAAGGTGGAAACATCAGAGAAATTACCTCTTTACAAGAATCTATTGATCACTTTAAATCAAAGAAGTATGTTTGACATAAGATTACCTGCCAGTTTGAACATTAGGTACACTATGTTATAGCCTGGGGCAGTTGTAAGTCTGACAAAGGGATTGTAAATAAAGCATGCAGCTGCTAGCGCCTCTGGCTTGGGATCAACCAAGGCTCAAGTCCAAGGCATAGGTAAACTTAAAATAATTTAACCCTTTTTTACCAGGATATATTGTGAGTTAAACCTGATTATTAAAAGTAGTGATTAAGCCACCTCCTCTATGTTTAAATAGCTATATAATTGCAAAAAAAATACATTGTTGGATCTCTTTACAAATCAAAGCAGATATAAGAAAAATAAATTTTGGAAGATTAGTCTGTCTCCACACAACAGATCACAGCTCTAAACTACTCCTAAGAACTTCTAAAACATTGTTAAAGATCTGCTTTTGGATAATACATAGAATGCTATCTCACAAAATTGACAGGAACTTAATAAGTTCTAAAATTCAAATAAACTTCATTTTTTATATAAGGAATTGTCTTCTGGAAAATCAATTAAACAGATCAACAACTGGAAAACTTTTAATGGCAGAGGTTTATATTACATGTGAAATATTTACCCTTCTTTTGATTTCAAACCCCAATCAAATACTAGGAGCCCACAAATAAATAAAGTTATTCAAATAAGTGGTCATATTAGTTCCATCTGAGACCATCTGCCACACTAAAGTTATTTAAAAATGTGTATTGCAAGACTGGGTCCAAAATTCACTGACAAATAGAATTTTTTATGTATTTTAATTCTTATTGAATGATGACAACTTAGGTTTGACTTTACCAGTACTGCTCATTTTCTATATATGAAAAAAAGTCGGTTATGCATTGTTTTTTAAGCTGTATATTTTTTTAAGCACGTGTTGACGCTAATAGCTGTTTAACTCATTAGTTCACAAAGATTCGGATTTGCTTGATCTTCAGTAAGGATGAGCTCTGGGTGAAATCTACTGCTTGTTAAACATTTAGCTGTTAATGTTAGCTGTGTATCTTTCTGAGGCACAAATTTAAATTTGAACAGTTTATATACAGTATTTTTACTCATGGAAATGGTGGCTATCCTTGTGTTTTGTGAGAAATTGGGTTATGTTACTGTTAATTAGAAAGCAACAAACCAATTTTTTTATATAAGGAAATTGATCTTCTGAATAATCTGAATTCATAGAGGAAGATATGATAGCTGAATTTAGATCCTGTGCATACAGTGAACATTGTCAGACATTAAAGACAATAAATGTAGAATCATGTTAACAGAGCACAAATGTTTTTCTTTAAGGGATTCTATCAATCTAAGCCTGGAAGATACTGTTTCCTGACTTCATTGAAGTCTGGTGTATTTTCACTCTTTAATATTACATTAAAAACAGGGGTTTTAATTTATGATCACATAAATACCTCTGTTATACTTATTGAACTGCTATCACTAAAAGATTCCTAATTTCTTATATTTTTCTGATGTCAAATTTCAAAATAATTTGAATACTGCATAGTAAAGGAATTGAGTGCTATAAAATGCTTGTTGTGAAACTAGTTTTAATGCTTAGCTTTATTCCACGATATCCTAGACCTGTTAACTACATGTGCCTATACATCTAAAGCCATACATTTATGTAAGAGCATAAAAACAAATGCATGTGTGTGTATTTGTGTCTGTGCAGGAATACATACACCTGCACACTAACACAAACATATCTGTGTGCATACTAAGGGCTAAATATTTAAATTTAAGCCTATGTACATATATCTTTTAGGAAAATGGTCAACAAAGAACAAAGGAAAAATGTCTTTGTCTTAAATCACTTATTTTTCTGAGAGCTGGCGGTGCTCTGCTACGGTTTCTTTTGGTCTAAGGAAAGATTGCCATCTATTGGATGACCTTGGAAAAGAATGGGTTTTTACTATGCATGTGCTCTGTAATTCATGAAAAAATATAATGAAATTGAAGACTTCAAGCTTAAATTGTACATGTTATTATTGTTAAATGGTATAAAAGCTGCTTTATTTTAAAAGCTGTGATTTTGAATTCTAGATTGACTTAATGCTGCAAAACAGAGGTAATAGGTGTTTGCTTTAGAAGGAATGAAATACTGGATGTGCATGTATACAGTAAGCTCTGGTAGCAGTTCAAATGTTTGCAGAATATTGAATCCAAGTTTCTTTATTTGAGTTTTCTATAATACAATGAAAGAGACTTAACCCAGCTATTAATACATTTATAATATATTTTCCTCTCAAGATTTGGGAACGGACTGATTCTCTTCTCCTGAAAATAGTATTTGCCCAGCTCTTACAGAGGGTTGCACTGCATTGCATTTGGAACAAAAATATCACTGCTTGAGCTTAAAACATAAAGCTTGCTCTTTTTTTTTTT